TCTTTTTTTTCCTTTTTTTTTTTTTTTTTTTTATTTGCCAGTAGTAGTCACACTCTGTGTAGGAACAAACAAGTTGTTACTATAGGAGAGGATTGGTGTCCTAATCACAGAATGTAAAAATAGATGTGATATTTACTCCCCAGCTTGTACTTGGAAGTAAATGTAAGATTCTGAATATTCATTAATTTTCTCTATTATGCAAGATAAATTGTGAGCAATGTCTCAAAGCTATTATATTTCTCCAAAATAAACCTGTATTTTCTTTTCCAGATTCATTTTCTTTTCTTTTCTTTTTTCCCTCACAGAATACAGAAATGCTGCAAACGATAATAGGGGGGAAGAAAAAGACATCAATCTAATACAATGTAAGTCTGGTAAGTTTCATAGAGAGATGGAAAAACTACCGCTTTCTAAACTGGCTCATAAAACTGTGGAAGTTTAATTCTCTGACTTTACATCAGCTGTCACTAAAACAAAAATTGCTTTGCAATTTCTTCTTGAACATTTCCAGCACTTCTACAGTAACATGCAGATTCTGTTTTTCAGTTTGACCACTTTTGTTTTCAGATCATGAATGGTTTATCTACTTTATATGATTCATCTGCAAATATTTTACATACACATCATATCAAATACAAAGTATTCTGAAAACAAAACTGACATAAAAAAAAAAAAAAAAAGACTTTAATAGTTCTATCTCATTCCAAAATATGAAATAAATGTATCCATATTTATCAGGTAAAATAACTTTGGTAAGTAGGCTTACATCTCTTGAAATAATGTGTTCTATATTTGAGACAATTTCTGTTTCTGAATGAATATAAGAATTCCTTGATTAACCCCTACAATTTTGAGAGTGATCTGATCTGAAACAGGAAAAGGGTATAGTTATCAGTTAGTTGGGAATAACAACGACTCTGAATAGTTTTAATTATTTCTCACATTCTCTTTCACTTCTTCAAGTTATTTATAAATTCATCCCAGTCTTGAATCGTGTGCAAACTTGCTGAGGTTGCAGTCTACATGTCCAGGTCATTCATGAAGAAAATAAACACTGTTGGCCTTAGTATTGGACCCAGAAGTGTGCCATAAGTGACTGGCCTCCAGCTGGACCAACAAGCACAAAATTTTAAGCCAGCAATTCCGCCTGTTTTCAGTCTATCTCACTGCCCTCTTATTTAACATGTACTTCATTCAAAAAGAATGTGGTAGAACATAGGGTCTAAAGACATGATAATCAACGGTAGTAGTTCTCACCCACCACACTCCTCACCTTGTTGTAAAAGATTGTCAGGTTGGCCAGATATGATTTCTATTTCATAAATCCATGCTGACAGCTCCCAGCAGAATTTTTCCCACACGCGCATCCGTTGCTGTCAATACACTGAGTCTTTGGATACAAGGTAGATCTCCTAGTAAGCCTAAAACCACACTGTTCACAGTTATTTTTGGCAAAATGCATCTTTGCATTCTAAATGCCTGCAAGTAAGAGCACAGCCTGATTTGAATGAAATTCATTACAAATTATCTCAGTAGTCCCTATATCATCGTTAATAGACTGAAAGTATTTGGGGAAAGATAACATATGTACTTCACTTATACTTAATGACATACAAGGATATTTTCCCCCTAACTTCTCCTATTCCTGCCCCATTCCACTTTTTTTTTTTTTTTTTTTTTTTTCTCTACAGGCATACGCATAAATTTCTGCCTAAAGAGATAAGATAAAGAATATGTAGATTTTTCTCCTTTTCAGGTCTTTTTTTGTTCCTGGTTTGTATCATATTTTGTTTGGAAAAATGAATAGAAATCATTCTTAATTTTAAATAGGCATGGTTTTTAAGGGTTTGCTTAGCCTCTGTAAATTCCAATGGCATTATTTTAAAGTTGTTCAGGGAAAAAGAAACAAAAACAAAAATAATGTAATTTCTCAGATAGTTCACACAGTTAAAACAGCACAAAGTATACTCAGTTTCAGTGAGTATTAGAATCACATACAGGATATGATAATCACCAAAAAGAAATATCACAGTTTCAGTTAAATTTGCCCCAATGGAATACACATGCATTATATCAAGGAACTATTTCAAAATTGAAGATGCAATTGATGCCAAAACATCAACAACAAAAAACAGAATAACAGTTTCTACTTAATTAACTTCCCACATCTTTCTGAAGAAGTGTTCCCAAATCAAATTCAGTTCCTCAGGCTCATATAAAATCGAGTGGATATAGCCACTCATGACTTTATTCATGAGTTGCAATCAACAAAAATAAAGATCTTCAATAATATTAAGTCAGAATTTTCTGTATACAACCAGACATCTTCCTTGGATGAGCAACAAATCACAGTAATAATAAATGGAGTCCAGGTTGACATGAAAAAATGATGTGTTCAGAAGATAGACTTGCACAATTGGATGACCCCCAGATAAGTTTCAGTGAAGTATAGCAAATCAAGGGCAAAACCATGAATCATGAAGGTCTATCTGCTGTCAGTGAACAGTGAGTATAGCCAACTCAATTTCAGAATGACAGCCGCTACAGAGACCACCAACAAATATAAGTGACTTGTCCCTTGGCAAATCTTCTGATTAAGAAACATTTAGATCTTGTTCATAGCCAATAAATTGACACTGAGCTTTCAGTACACTGGAACTACATCATGTTGAGAGTCAAATGACTTAAGGAGCCCTTTTATTTATGCCATACTAATGGCTTTATCTTGAGTGACAGATGAAGGGTAAGGCTGAAGAATAGATATTAGAAAAATGAACTGTGGGCCATTGTAGATCTTATCAGAGAGGTATGTCACCAGTAACTGCAGAAACAAGCACTGAACTTTGCACTGAGCAGTAAAGATGGCAGACTCTTAGGTGTCTTTGCAACTTTTTGATAATACAAAAAAAGCCTCTTAATTGAGGCTTCCAGGATATCTGTACACCTCGGTAGCAACAGGATTCAAAGAATTAAATTATACTGCATGAACATGTTTTACCAGCTCCAAATCTAGCTAACAGATAGTTCCCACATAAGCACAGAATCTTTCTTAGCACCAGCTGCTGCAACCTGCTGATAATATCATTGGTCTTCCCACCTCACTCTGCCTTGTTATGCCTGTGGAAAAGTTATGAAGCCCTGACCTGCAATGCTGACAGTCCTAGAGAGAGCTCCCAGGAGTCAGTCTACAAATCACATCACTAATGCAGAGAAATACAGATGTTCCAAAATAACACTACTAAATTCATTACAGTTTGCATCAGGGGTTAATTGGGTGATATCACTTCATTGTCTCTGTTTTTTAATGGGAAATGGGTAAATGTACTTAAAGAGCAACTTTCCTTTATGAAAATAAGCAGCATGTGCATGTAAAAGAACAAATTTGGCAGTTTCAGATGTGTTTTGGATTCTACTGATTCTGACAGTTTAGTACTCCATATTATTCTGTTCATTTAGAAATAGATAAAAGACTATTCTAACTAATTTGAAGAACACTAAAATTACAAAATTCTTAAGGAAACAATAGAACATTATAGAAATAATATACACATAGGCAGTGTTCCCCATTGTAGATGCCTTTCCAATTTTGGAAGGCAGAATCTGCTCTTACTGATCAATGCTTAAAAAGTCATTTATTTAATTATGCATTGAGTGTTTTCTAAGTTGCTTTGCTTTGGTAGATATTTTGTTTGCTTGTTTTTAGAATTCAAACATTTTAACCAACATCAAAGCTATGATATTTGCACCTATTCAGAAACAACTCTACTTATTTTGTAATGTTAGCTAGTAATTAATATTTTAAGCTACTATTATAAAATAAACATTACGAGCAATGTTTTGTAACTGAATGTATGATGAATTGAAAAATCAAAGATATATGTTTATTAAAGCCTTAAAGATTCAAAATTGTTGAGGATGAGATTATTAATCTCATTATGAAATAGTTTTTCATTATCAAGAATAATATTGTTTCTCCGTCAAATATTGAAATATGGTAGTTTTACAGAAAAAAAAGGACCAATGGATTTGTCATTCATCTCATATATCCATTAACACAAGAGTGAACTAATTAAGAGAAATGGGAAGCCGTCATGATCTCATTTATGAATGTACTTGAGACATTCCGTATACAGACAAAAGATAGATTTTAACAGACTCTAAAGAATTTTCCATAAAGACACTGACGGTAAATACAATTTCTTTCTTGCCAGCTTTAGCTCTATACATACTACAATTCCTTACACATGGTTGATTGAAAAGTGTTGTAAAACTCTTCTCTAATTATAGATTATTGTATGAATTGTGAAGAGAATTTAAGAGACTTTTGTTTCTAAATCATTTATACCATACTGATAATGTTGAATAAATAGCACGAATGAGTGAAAACACCTATATCAAAACGATCTGCACTGAGTTTCTGTAGTATTTTCTTTTCCTTCTTTTCTTTATAATAACCTGCTACCACATAAGAAAATGTCTGCATTTAAACAGCATTTTAAAATGGCTTGCCTTGAAAAATTACAAGCTAGAGACATGATACAGTTCAACAAGATTGTCTGTAAAAAAATAAAAATAAAAAAAAAAAGAGAGAGAGAGAAGAAAAAAGAAAAAAGAAACCATTCTAGCTAAAAACAGAAAGGAAATAAAATCACTGACAATTTCAATACATTTTACACACATAATTCACCTTGTACTTCTAGACTTAACTACTGATGAAGAGTTCAAATGCTCCATTCTCAATGCCAACATCATTTCAAATATGAAATATAGAAGTTTTGAGTCTTGTTTTTAAGGATGATGCATTTCTTTTAAGTGGCAAGCAAAGTTTCAGGAAAAAAAATGACACGAAGGAAGATTTCGCTGTTACATATTCTCAAAACAAACCTCTATGGATTGCTAATTTAGGAGGTGTAATAATGAAACTGTGTAGTTTGAGGCTGAAGAGATCATTTATATTAGCTGCACATTAAGGGAAAAAATGATATAAAAAAACCACCTACCTTTCGGGAATTGATTTCTTTCACGTATAGTGGAAGAAGAAATTCAGATATTCCTTCAAGTCGTATTCCTTTTTTAGTGACTCTCAAATTTCCCATTCCATCCTACAATCAATAACATATACATACATTTCACTTTATGAAATAATGTTATCCAGAACAAAGTGAAAATAATAGTACCTGGCCTAATATCTAAAAGTATAAAATGAGTGCTAGGATACAAATGGTGAAGTCCCACAGAATAGCAAAGTGTAATAAATTCTTTCTTATGGTTAGCAGTCAAATCATAGTAAGGTCTGTGGTGCTGGTCAACTGAAATATGACTGAAGATACTCAGAATGTCCAGCCAATAAACAGTTTTGAGTAAAACAGAGACAAATATAATTATCCACTGGTCTAGTCTGTTTTAAAATTACTACTGTATCGTTAATTTCTTGGATCTCTGATGATTTGCATTACAAAAATACCACGAACTCTCTCTATATTTCTTTTTTTTTTTTTTTTTTTCTTTCTTTTCTGAAGTACTACCATCTGGTGCCTAGGAATGGAATTTCAGTGAGTGTATGGAAAAAGTTCACATGAACTGTTCGTGATAAAGCTTTCACTGCCCCCAGCTCTTCTGATATGGATAGGAGCTAGACAGAGGAACTAAGACATAACTCCTCACTTGGGACCTGTGGCATTTGACTGCACACCCCACTCTGGTGGTGATCTACACACATTATTCCTTGGCTGGATGTAATGCAATGGTGCAAGTGTAGATAATTTTACATATGCCTTCATTGTGGAGACGAAGCTGGATCCTGAATTACACCTGCTATGCTATTAGTTATCTCTAAAAAATGTATGCAATATTTTTTAAAGCAAACTATTTTTTGTAGTGTAATATTAGAAAACATTATGTCAGGTCACAGGAAAACATCCTACGGGAAAAAAGAAAAAAAGTTTTGTAATTAGTAGTTGCTCATCTTTACTAAGAATACTAAGGACATGTTACTAGTGAAAAGGACTTCAAAATGAAAAGTTTTGTTGTTTCTGTTTTGTTTTAATCTGGATAGAAATAAGAAACAGGCTACTCTAAAAGACTGGATGAAAAAAGCCAACAAAATGACCCAATGCACAACAAAATATATACAAATTAAAGCAGCACAGCAAAGCTTTAGCTGTACTCTTACAGTTAAAGCAATGAAATCAGTTTCAAACTTAGAGACAGGATCATTTTTCACACTGACTGAGATTCAAGATTGTACCTGTTACTATATTCTTGACAGAAGATAATTCTTCACTGTGCAGCCAGTGGAACACAATTTGACTCACTTCAGTGCAAAATTAGCAAATGTGACCTAATTGATGATTAAATGCTTAGAAGCAATTACTAAGTGTACTGCAGTAGAGAAGCAAGAACTTGTATTTCTGCTTTTGGCCATATTGTATAACCTTGACCTGCTGAGCAGTGCTACACAGCTTGATGGCAGTATCCACAGCTGATACAGCTGATGCTGGAAGAGGACACCAAAGTACCCACATTTATACTTACCTAAAGATAGTCTAGAAACTATCACGATTCCCTTTTCTAAAACAAATAATGATGCCAACATGGCAGGTATTCAATTGATACTATTGTTATCTACATCTGAAGTATGACTGTAAATAATTTAAGAGAGGAAAATAAAATGACATTGTATACAATACAATTCAACTGAAATAATTTCCCAAACTCAAGGATATAGTGTCAGACAACTTTTCAAACTACAATAGATCTGTAAAAAACGTGCTTTTGGGAATTACGCTTTCACATTTCAAGTCTGAAAGTACTTGTAGATGTCTGACTACAAAACCAGAAACTTTCAGAGCAATAAAATAAATATAACTTCACTCCAAAGCAGACAAAATACAAAATAACAAAAACTACTGCTAAGGTTACATACAATACAAAATGTACTTGCTAAAGTATTGTGGCACAAGGAGAGCTATTGCAGACTCTGTAATGGTCCATCTAATATTTAGCAACGCTTGAAAATGCTAAGCCAGTAACTGCCTTTGTGCGTGTTTGTGTGGCAAAAGGGCTATCTGTATTCTTTTTTTGACATCTTAATCACCAAACAGTAACTATGTTGTATCTTGATCTTTCCATATATCACTATACATAGACCACTATAGATCACTATAAAAGTATCTTTTAATACAAAAAGGTTACAAATAGCTGATATTTTATAACAGGGCAGAATACAAAGCAGTGTTGTCTATTTTTGAGAAGAAAGATAAATAAAGAAATTGTACAATGCTTTTCCAAGTACAGCCTTCACTAATATCCAGCAACTCTAAATTTCAACAATTTCATTTTTCTATGTATCTTGTAGGACAAGCATATAAAATAATCATAGGATAAAATAACCTGAGAAAGGAGAACAACCATGTTATAATAATTTGGCAGTGAATAAATACTAAACAAGAACGACACCAGTTTATTTTTTTTAGGTATAAACACATTTTAGAACTGAAAAAGCAAATTCAATATGTTGTTACATCTGCTTGTGCAGAATGTCTGCAACTGCCAGACGTTAACTACTATTCACAATGAAACTGAAAAACAAAATTCTTAAGACTGGAAATGTCTAGAAAACTTCTATTGAGCCATCTTATTTGTAGGCATATGATAAAATCTATAATCACACAAAATATTCTCTTTCCTGAATCCCTGCTTTTTTCACATAACTTTCACACTACTCATTTAAAAAAGAGCCAGAATTACAGAATGATTTGGGTTGGAAAGCACTTCAAAAGCACCTAGTTTCAATCCCCTGCTGAGGGTCACTTCTTATTCTCCTATCACCTCACTATTTTCTTCACTATCGATTTATTGTAATCTGTTGAAAGTCTGCTCTGAAAACAGGACTGTCAATCTTTGTCTTTGCTTCTGCTTTCCTAAGTGTTTATTACTGAAGTTCTGGAGCTCCACACAATTCTTAATTAATTTTCAAAATACTTTTGGTGGGTTTACACTAAGTGATACTGTCTTATGTTACAGAAAGTGAACTGAAATACAAAAATTAATTTGTCCTTTTCTTTTTTGTGCTTACCATATTCTTTCTGTTTGTTTTCAACAACAGGAAGTTGATATGCACAGAAAATTTAAATTATCATGGTCTCAAACAAGCTAAAAGCACAGGTTACAGTGTCAATATATATATATTTTTTTCTGAGCGACATTTCTAAGACCACATCATTCATTTTTTTCCAAAGTTCAGCTACCCACCTACCCAAGTGCAACAGTCTGAATGCAGAAAGACTCTGGACATATAGGAGCATTCCATTTTCAGTAAAACTATTCAGTATGAAAAGACAAAGTATTCTGGATTGAGAGCCACAAATAGTGTGATAAGATATAGACTGAATAGGGTACCTGTGACCTTAACAGCTTGACAAGTGCAATAATCTTCCAGAAAGCAAGTTCCTGGAGCATGTGCAATATCTGTTATGAAATAAGACTGAACAGTAAAATAAGGAAAATAGTTAGATATGTATTACAATGCGCTTAACAAGGTTCTCCTCCATCACAGAATCATTGCTTACTAGGTTTTCTTCATCAAAAATTCCCCACCCAGTTTCAGTTTGGGTTGGAATAAATGTTTTGTTTTTTTTTATATCATTGAGTTAGAATTAGGCTGTTACAGAGAAAAAAAAAAGTCATACTTAAAAAGTCATTAAAACTGGAAAGATAAATCAGAAACAAATCCAGTGTTCTCAGTCCATTTAATGCACCCATTTGTATGAAGATCAGTCTATTTACAATGCTCATCCCAAAAAAGCAAGAAAATAATATTAAATTTTAAAACAGAACTGGAGAAGAGTTTTGTTTTAAGGTATACTTGCAACTTCCTATGTATACGATTCTGATATAATATTACAATTATAGTTTGGTTTAGGCAATCCTTTTGCTAATCATCCAGGTAAACTGCCCAATTTACTTAACGATTTCCAGGCAACAGATATTCAAATTATCATTTGCATTTGTGATTTGATTTCATTCAAGTACAAAAATACACTTGAATGAAGTATACAAGTACAGTCTTACAACAAATAAATACTAATACAGAATACCATATGTAGCTTGGATAGAGCTAGTTTTCTTCATAGCAGCTTGTATGGAAATACTTTTTTGGATTTATGACTACATCATCAGAATTGACAACACACCAGTGTTTTGGCTGTAGCCAGACAGTGCTTGCACAGAATCAACTCTGTAGAGTGGCAGACAGAATGCTGTGGATGACTGGGAAGATTATCTACAGTAGTAGCTATAGTGATGATAAAATACTAGATATGCAAAAGGAGGAAGTGGACAAGGCAAATTATTTGTACTGTGTTCACACACACAAAGGGCTGGGTTTCATAAAGAGAGCTACATAAAAATTCCAGCTGGAGGAAAATGGTGTTTGGGCATGATAATAAAACATAAAACTATGGATAATAAAATGAAAAACTATAGTCAGCTACTGGCCTGTGTAAACAGAAGGGGAGGCAGGAGGGCACGGGGACCAGCAATGAAAATACAGGGAGTTTTCCTTCTTTTCAAGGAAAGGTTACTGTGAATTTCACAAACAGCAAATTGATAGAAAGATATCAAGGAAAAAAACACTGCAATGGCAAAAATTGATGTAAATATCTCCCTTCATCTCTCTGCTGAAACTAATAGCTATAACTGTGCAAATGACATCCAAGAGCAGGGAAAAGTGGGGAAAGAAATGACTATAGTATAGGGCTACAGTGTTTGAGGTGTATGCTGTGACTGAGGAAAAAAATATAGCTTGTGGAAACGTAGCAGTAACAAATAGGTTTTAACTAAAAAAGCTGTAGAAAGGGAGAAAGACAGACCCCTGTGCAGTATAAGAGGAACTGAGTATCCTGAATAAATGTTGCCTGTTAGATTGCTTTTTAAAGGTATAAAGCACAGTCTGGCTTCCCCAGTTATGAAAGTAAACTTGAAAATGCAAGTCTACATGGGATTCCATTAACAGAAAACATCTCTCTCAAGAGTAGACAATCACTTCAAATGCAGCTTTTCTTTTTTTTCTTTTCTTTTTTTTTTTTTACAGTCTGATTTC